TAAAGTCTAATTGAGTTCTACATCCCACGGAAGAACTGGCATGTCGCTCAACCCACATTCCAGTTAAGAATCCCACCAAACAATGTGATTTAGTTCACAGTGTATGAGGTCCGACTTAAAAATCCTAAATTATTTTATAATCAATCCATGTCAATAAAAACGACGCTAACATAGAAATTCAAAGCTACTCATCAAATAACTAATTTATCATGTGGATTTGAGAGCTATTTTGCCGAATTCGCTTTGGAATTCGGAAGTTTCCAAACTTTTGACGCGCCATTTCTTATAAAAATTCGTATTTTTCAAATGCGATTTCAGTTTTCAAAAAATCATGTTACCCATCGTAATCTACACTGATTCTGAATATAATATGTGAATTCGGGGCAATTTCATTGTCTATTGGCTACGCTAGATCAAAAATAAAAAAGTTTCCAAACTTTTGACCGCTACTGTATTTTCTACGAGGGCATGCACCAAGCTGTTGTCACTGTCACTCCACGCTTTACTTAGGACCTGTTACAGAGTAGGACATGACGTCTCTTAATGGAAATTCCTGCCTAATATAAATGCGTTGCATAATATTCACTTATATTTGATACTATTTCACTAATATTATCACGGTTCATATTGTGACCTGAATAGTTCGCTCATTCATTTTGTCTTTAATTGTTTGTGCAACTCACAAATTGACTAGGCCCTGGACTCGCTAGGCGTTTTGAAGTTGCTATGGTGAGTGCCAACAGCTTCACTGTTTCTTCCTGTTTTTGTCGCGTGAAGACTTACCACGTGGTGCTTCTTGGCGCCTTGAATTACACCGGTCGCATCGCTACCAAAATAACAACTTTTTTCTTCCAGTGGTACGAGGCGAAAGTGCGAAACGATGGAAAAGTATGAGAAACTCGGCAAAATCGGTGAAGGATCGTACGGCGTCGTCTACAAATGTCGGAACAGAGATAATGGAATGGTAAGGTTGAATTCCTCAGTTGAAGAAGTTGAATAGGAAAAATGCGAAAAGGAAGATACAGAAAATGTGACTGGCGAATCGGTCATTAATCCATCAGTAATGCGCCGTACCTTCAACTTGAAGGTGAAATCGCTTAGCTGACCCACTTGGATGTTGTTTTAGGCTTCTGAGATAAAATGCGGTCCTACCTTCTGAGATCTATAGAGCTGAAAAATATTAAGCTATTTATGTGCCTTTTGTTGGATGCTTCAGAAGGTTCTATGTACTTTTTCGTTTGAATCTTATTGTTTCACTGTGCCACTACTAGCTATGATAGGCTTGCTCTGTATGAGAAAATTGTTCACATATGCTCTTCAGATCGTTGCGATCAAGAAATTCTTCGAAACCGAGGACGATCCCAGATCAAGAAAATCGCCTTGAGAGAAATACGGATGCTCAAGGTAACGTTTGAGCGTTTCAAATTGGTCACCTCGTTTTGAAAAATTTTGGCAGGAATACCGAAACCCACACCCCACAAGATATGGGCAAACCCTTTGGGCCTCTAATCCAGAAGCTGCATATCTTCGCTTACGAAAGCAAGAGTGCTTTCACTAGTGTAATTTGTTGCAGCAACTAAAACATCCGAATCTTGTCTCGTTGCTGGAAGTCTTCAAGCGGAATCGGAAGTTGCATCTGGTGTTCGAGCACTGTGATCGTACTGTACTGCATGACTTGGAGAAATATCCGAATGGGTACGTACATTTTTTTGTATAGACAGGTTTCTATTGAACAGACGTCGACCAAATCCACTAAATCCTGTTTATCATAGTCCTAAATTTTTTTCACTTCATGAATATGTATTTGGGTCTCAACCAGTAAAGGCATGCGACAGTTTAAATCGCCCAAAGTAATTCAATCTTTTGCAAGGGAGTAAGCTCCAGGGTGGGTATAGAAAAGAAAGCGAAAAGCTCCACGCACACAGAAAACTTCCCCTCCCCAAAAAAATTGGGTTTTCTTAGGCGGCAGCCAACCGATGGAAAGCGCACGTTATAGAATATCTAGGCGGTTATTTGGAGCGCCAACTAAGTGAGCGTCTCTTGTGTCACAGATATAATGTCGACTTCTATGAATCGGGTCAGTATCTCACCGCAACCCATTCAGCGCAAAAAACAGGCGCTTGTCCAATGTCCTTTGTGACTTCTTGTAAATGGTGTTCTAAGATAAGATCTCTCTTGACAAGGACAAAAAGCTTTGATTATTTCCATCTTCTTCTATATAAGTGTTAATTTGAACGCAAAAACTTAACGCTTACAGCAATTCTGCCGTTCCAATCTAAAACTTTATGTGTCCTTATTCCAGGGTTCCAGAGGAGCTGACGAAAAAAATCACATGGCAACTACTTGAAGCTTTACGGTTTTGTCATTCGCACAAGTGTATACACAGGTGGGAAATTTTCAGCTTACCGTCTAGACAAAACACCTTCACGTAACTGCACACAGTTCACTCTAATGAAATCAAATATAGACATACTCCCATCAACATATGTCTGCATTAAGTTTCATGTGAATTTCAGAAACAAAAACTAAAGAATCTAAAGAGCCTGCAGGCAAGAGCCAACTGTCCGCCTAAACGGTTCAAATGAGGAGGTTGTCAACGTGTTGAAGGAATCCTATCCATAAAATTCTTACATTATTTCCTCAACATGATATGTCGGCTGCCATCACTAGGGCACATATCAAATTCACGCTCCACGAAGGTTCAGTTCCCGGAAGAGGAACAAACCTTTCGAAAAGGCCCCTTCGATTGGAACGGTTTAAGGCAGGTCGTCTGCGATCAGGTTAAAAGCGTTTCAAAAATTTGGAGAATAGAGACAAAACTATCAATAAGATAGGATGCAGTAGAAGTGTGAGATGTTAGGGCAGTAAGTCAAAAGGTCAAGAAGAGTTTCTAGTGGCAGCACTTCGTTAACCAAGTGGAAGCGTTACCGTAACCAGCATTTGAGACAGATGTCCGCGGAATGTGAACGTAGGAGTCTCCGCTTTTTCGAATAGTTCATCAAAGGCATTTGCTTCAGTCGCTTCGTGTTGACCGTGAAGGATGGATCTCGAGCCAGTGGTTTATGTATGAAGTAGAGAGATGGTTTTTACAAAGATCCATTAAAACAAGTTTTCGTTGAAGGGAAGCCGTAGTTGTGATGGCCGTTTTTTCTGCGGGAGGGTTTGGCGAAGTTGTGGTTTTTCAACGCTTTCAAAGTCAACTACGGTTGAAGCACCCGCGGTGGTTGGTGTGGCGGTCGAGTTGGTGAGCAGGGTCTTATGAGGACCTCCAGGGCTGATTGATAATAGGAGTGGTATCGAGACCCACCTTTTAGAGAGAGGGCCGTAGAAATTCTTGAAATCGGTTGAACGTAAGGGTTGATCCTGATGAACAGATTGAGTTTCATCCCAGTGGCGCAAACAGCTTAAAGGACGAATTCACGATGAAAAAGCAACCCATTTCAAATTAACCTAGGGATGGTGAGTGGTACACGAAAGAAGGAAGAACCATGAGAAACGGCCCAGAACCCGAGAAATGGTACCCCTTCCTTGCCCGTTGATTCGAGCATTGATGCGACTCTCATCGCTGTGCCCTCTTCAACACTACGCTCTCTCAGCTATCTAATCACTCGCCACGTATTGAACTACGGCGAGTGATCAGATGATCGGTGGGCGGAGATCGCCGACCCGCCAGCTTTGAGGCATGATAGGTCGCCGGGGTCAAATTTTTCCATGCGAATTGCGCGTCAGTTCGCACCCTCAGGAGGTCCGTGGGTCCCTCGACTAGGTCATCGTATCTCCTTTTCTTCGAGCTCACTCTAATCGATATTATGCTCTAACTTAAAGGACGAATTCACGCTGGAAAGGCAACCCATTTCAAATTAACCTTAGGGATGGTGAGTGGTACACCAAAGAAGGAAAGAACCATGAGAAACGGCCCAGAACCCGAGAAATGGGACCCCTTCCTTGCCCGTTGATTTGAGCATTGATGCGACTATCATCGCTGTGCCCTCTTCAACGCTACGCTCTCTCACCTATCTAATCACTCACCACGTATCGTATAATCACTCACCACGTATAGACCTGCGGCGAGTGATCAGATGATCGGTGGGCGTGCACTGACCAGCCGCGGCGGGATTAAACCTTAATAGGTCAACGAGGTCAACTCCTCCTGTGCAAATTGTGCTTCAGTTCGCACACTTAGGAGCTCCGCGGGTCCCTCAACCAGGTGAATTCTTCCTAATTCGATTTTCCCTCTGATCGTGAATTCGTCCTTTAACAATACTATATCGCTGCAATATTCTATATTTGGAACCTAACATAGGAGAATAGAATCAAAATGTGAACACATTTCTTACGCATTACCCTGATACTCTTAGACGGGTGATTGCCAAGCTTTACGCTGGTCAGAGACGGGTCTTGCTTGTTTCTTTTCCTGAGTTTAGAACTCACGATCATTTTACTAGGTAAATCAGATTGATTTTCAAATAGAAGATTCACTTTTCCACCCAATTATTATTAAAAAACGGTATTTCAGGGACGTGAAACCGGAGAACATTCTCCTCACCAAGAATGACGTTGTCAAGTTGGCTGACTTCGGCTTCGCTAGGATAATCAGTGAGTGTTTATCCCATGCAATTTGTTCCACTTATAATCATTTCTTGACCTTGTCGTAA